TGATTGAACTTGCTTCAGAGTTCAAGAATGGCAGCCTTCCCATCAAATCTACTGCTCAACAACTTTGCATGTAAAACAACCATCATTTCATAGTTGATCTTTCTTTCTTAGTCGATCTTTTATAGTAGATTTGCCCTAAACAGCAATGCATTTAATGCACCTGCTAATAAAACACGAGGCAACACAATTATGTGACTTGATTCTTTACAATATTCAATAAACATTTCATTTAATCATATAGCTAAAGGTAGATCTTATGAGCTAGTCAGATTATTTTAGTTATTTAGCTTTCAATTCATTAAAATATTGGTGCTGTTTAAGGACTTTGGCTTTAAACCTATTCCTGAAATGTAAAGAACCATATGGAGGAGAAAAACATTCATGAATATTAATTATTTTAAAGCAATAATATTATTATAATGATTTTTGAGGTCTATGTTGTTATTTGAGTTTATATAATTTTGTGTTGCTTCCAACCATTCAGGTTTACATTCATTTTTTATATTATAATCTTTATATTCATATATATATATATATATATATATATATATATATATTCATATTCTTAAGCTGAAAATATAAAATAACAAATACGATTTCTGAAGGATCATGTGATAAGACTAGAGTAGTTTTGAATTAGATTTTACTTTTATTTTCTTTGTTTTCATTTTAATTTTAGTTAAAGTTTTAGTAATTTTGTTGTGTATTTGGTCATTTTTATTGTTTTTTTTATATATATATTTATATAGTTTAAGTTATTTTATTTTTTTATTATAGTTAATTTATTACTCTAACTAAATAAAAATGAGATGTTGCATCAGCAACTAGCTGAAATAAATTACGTTTAATATTTTATTTTATTTCACTTAATGGATATTTTTTCCAAGCATACATTTTTTTATGGTTTTATTTAACGATGGTAACCCTGAATAGAAATGCCAATTTAAAATGTAATGCTTTTTTTCACAGTATTACTGCTTTAATTGATTTTTGAGCAAATAAATGCAGCCTTAGTGAGTATAAGAGACTTATTGACCCCAAACTTGTTTCAAATTTTTGTTTCTTATACCAAAAGATGGCAGGTATATTTAGAGTACTAATCTGTGAGTTAAGGAAAATTAAAAAAAAATATATATATTGTCACAATGTTCTCCCCTGCTAATACAGCTGCCTCCCAAGCATTAAAAACCTTATACATCCCTGCCGGCTGCGTTCTCACCGAAACACATCGTAAATACATCACAGGGGAGCTATTTACAGAGACCTATTGTTTCTGCCTTCTCTATGAATACCTCATCTCGCTCTCTTTTATCTCTCTTCTTGTGTTCTCATCTATTACCGCATCGACCAACTTTTCCTCTTTCTCTGCCAATGGAAATCCCACCGTGACCGCGTGAACGCTCGCCACTGACGATCACAATGGAGTTAAATGGAAATCAGTCAATAATTTCTGTCCTGTTGTGGAGAGGTTTAGTTGATGCGGTGCCGCAGTCGTTTCAGTTATACACGGCGCTGCATGTGGCCCACGGTGCACCATTCAGGGGACATAATGAGCGCTCTGTAGACAAGCTGAGGTTATTTTTAGCTAAACAATTATCTACCACTCCACCCTCCTCCCTCTCTCTTTTTACGTTACACCCAGATACACACACAAGGAAGTTGCACGGCGATGACTGCAAACACATTTTTGACCTCCACATATGCATCCTGCCACTGTCATTAAAGAATCAAGAGAGTGCCGGATCTAGTTTCATCCTGTTGAGTCTTCTCTGGCCTTGCTTTTGTGTCATCCGAGCAAGTCCCGACAAAAGAGCCAGTGTGTTTCATACTGGACTCTTGCATTATTTACTAAAGAGCTGTGAGCTGGTCATGTGACCCGAACAGGAGGGAAGTTACAACAGTAAAGTGCATGAGACAGCATGGCTTCTGTTTTTAGACCGGGGAGCCCGAGTGTTGAATGAGTCTAACCTTGGTGGAGCAATTTCTAGTCAATACTCAGGATGTTGTGACAAGATAGAGAGCAGGGCCGTGACGAGCACACACACACACACACACACACACACACACACATAGGTTTGTTTTTATGGTTTATGGGGACTCTACATAGGCGTAATGGTTTTTATACTGTACAACCCGTATTTTCTATTGCCCTACACCAACCCTACCCCTAAACCTACCCCTCAAAGGAAACTTTCTGCATTTTTAGATTTTCAAAAAAACTCATTCTGAATTATTTATAAGCCTTTTGAATTACGGGGACACTGAAAATGTCCTCATAAATCACCTTCTCGTTGTAATACCTATGTCATACCCATGTTATTATACAAATTTGTGTCCTCATAAACCACATAAACATGCACACACACACACACACACACACTCACTCTCTCTCTCTCAATATTCAGATTAGTCGTTGATCAATATGGGTTTTTCTACAACAGATTCTTAATTTTCTCAATTTGGCTCACTCCAATACAAGTCAATACTAAAATTAAATATAGCTTTATTCAGTCTGAGTTATATACATATAGTATTCTCTTTTTTTATTCTGATTATTTATTTGGAAATGCATGCTAAATGCCACATAAAATTGTAGATGTCATTATATATACATATGTAAGCGTGTGTGTGTGTGTGTGTGTGTGTGTGTGTGTTTATTTAAATTTCATATAAATTTTATTTTTATTTTTTATTTTATTTAGTTTAGTTTATATATATCCATGAAAGGTTTGGTGCAAAAACAATTTTAGTAAACCATTTTTTATTTGTAGCACATTAAATTAAACATTACATTTTGAAATATAAAAACTTAAGTATTTTCTTGTAAAACATACTCCAATAATATTTGTTATATGTTGTTATTATTATATATTGATTAATGTATATTGATCATATATTGATACACACACACACACACACACACACACATATACTGTATGTATATGTATATATATATATATATATATATATAAATAATTTTCTATTTAAATATATATTTATATAATTATATTATTATTGTTTATTTATTATTAAATATATACATTTATAATATATTGTTTTTGTTATTTGTGCCATTATTTTACTTACATATAATATATAAATTTTGTTTTCTAAAAAAAAGACCCAAAATGCACACAGTGTACAAAAGAAACATCACATAATAAGCCACAAAATAAGAAAATGTTAATAACTCCATTTTGACAAAAAATGTCAGATAGAACCTTATAATTCCAAGGTGATGATATATATATATAGGCATATAGGTATAATAAGTGGTTGTGCTTCATTGAAGACTCCTTTGATTTGAAGGAAACACTTATGTATGGAAGCTGATGACGTGTAATCTCAAAGCCGCCTGCAGCAGCTGACAGTCTATAAACACAGATCACGAGAGAATACCAGGTGGGGTCAAACTGCAGCACACGAGGGCTTTGCCTCAGGCCGATAAGAAACTCACCACCCACAGTACGGCTAAAACAAAAGGGTTCCCGATAAAACAAACACAGAGCAGGTCAATCACTGAGCACCAGGTGAGCGTATTTGAATTTGATTAACTTTCAGCTTGGCCTCTTTATATCTCCACAGTTAGTTATGTAATAGACCCTCTTTAAAGTAACATTTGCAGCTTGTTACCCTCTCCTTGAGTCACACTGAAAGCCCTTGCAGCTTTTCTGAGAACTCTGCAACAGTAGCTTCAGTTTCCTTATGATTAAATGTCTCATGAGGACGAGGGCCTATATGTCACTTCAGATCAAACTCTGGGTCAAAGGGTCACAACTCGGCTGAATATCCCGTTTCAAGTTTTAATCCACGAGTGAAAGCTGATCTAACACAAAACACCACAGCATTTGGTGAGACAGAAACATGTATGAGATATGTGTGCTCTTATCTTAGCCACAGAAACCCACTATAGGGTGAGCAAGGCAACACAATGAGCAAGACCTGATCCAAGAAATATTTTCCTAAATTACTCTTTGGTTGAAATGAAGTTATATTTAGTAGTATTCATGTAATACAATCAGGTTTAACCAGGACTTGCATTATTTTAATAATGGTTAAATAATAAGTATTTTTTGCACCCAAATTTACAAAAAAAAATGTGGCAGTGTTATTTCAGTATCACTGATATACTATTATAGCTTATGGTTTTATTTTTATATTTTCTGTTTTCAATTTAATTTGAAAGATTTAGTAAATTTGTTTTGTTTTTATCATTTGTATGTATTTATTTATTTGTATATGTCTATATAGTTTTTAATTTGTTTTAGAGTTTGCGATTTCTTAATTTTAGTTTATTTTGTGTTAGTTATTTTAGTACTTCAACTTTAAATGAAAATAAGAAATGCTGCCTTGGCAACTATCTGAAATAAAATAAGTTTGCTTTTTTATATTTTATTTTGTTTTGAGTTACTCTTCCATTCAATTTCAAGTAATGAAACCCTTTTTATGGTTTTGGTTTTAGTTTTAGTTAACAATAATAGCCCTATAATAAATAATAACTTCTTGTGGATTTTTACAGATGCCTTTTTATCTAGTACTGATTTGTTTTTAAGAACAACTACCGATTTTTATATGTTTAGAAAAAGAGGTAAAATACACTGAAAACTTCACAGTAAGATTTTTTTCAATATTTCCAAAGAAGTATCTTGTGCTCACAAAGGCTGCATTTATTTGATCAAAAACACAATAAAAACCGCAATATTGTGAAATATTATTACAATTTAAAATAACTGTTTTCTATTTATAGATTTCGAAATATAATTTATTCCTGTGATGCAAAGCTATATTTTCAGCATCACTACTCCAGTCTTCAGTGTTCTGATAGGATGGCTTGCTGCTCAAGAAACATTTCTTATTATTATCAATGTTGAAAATAAGTTGTTCTGCTTTGCATTTTTTTTGGAAACCATGCATGATACTATTTCATGCTGAATAAAAAAAAATCATTTCTTTCAAAAACAAACCCCAAGGAGTAAATCATGACATCATTGTTCTCTTACCTGTGTGTGATCTGCCTCCCTGTTTTCATTCTCCTTCCACAGCTGATCCTTATGGCCGTCCACATCTGGCTGTAGGGGTCGATATCCGATGAGGGGCACCTCTCTTGGCCCCACACCCGGCAGCTCTACTCCAGACGTCTTCATACTTCGAGGGAGCATGATGATGCTGCTGGCCAGAATCAAACCAAAACACAGGTCACTGGAGAGGAACAGGCAGCTCTACGCCTGCTAGATCATTTGTTTTCATCATTTACATTTGCCAAGAGACAACTCTGAATTTGAATTTCAGGCCCGTCCCTCGCCTTTTCCCCTGTCCCTCACTGGTATTTATATTAGTCTGCAGATAGAGATCTCTTTCAGGAAGAGAAGGATGGAAAGAGAGCAGCTCACCATCAAAACTCAGTGCCATTGTCACAAACAGCAACAACCAAGATGTGTTAAACAAGTGAAAGTTCATAAACATCATAGTTCATAACAGCTCTCAGTGAGGCAATTCACTAGTAAGGGATAAACATTTATTAGTGTGCAAAACAAGAGTGAAACCTTACAGGAAAATAATGCTTCCTTTCATCTAACCCTAATCTGCCTAAAGCACTCAGCCTAACTGTGTTATTTACTGAATCTTAATAGGAACGTAGGCTATCAAACGACAAAATGTCATTTTAATGCCCAGCAATATCAAAATACGTTATGCGTCTTTTCTCTATGAACTTACAGTTTGCTTATACATGACACATTTTCTCTTAACGTCTCGCATTAGAAGACAAACGTTCGCGTTCATTCACACCCAAACGAAACGCACAGATACCTGTTAGGAGAGCAATATCTCGTCCATCCGCCCCTGCGAGTGGGTTCCTCGGAAGTCAGAGTGTCTGTCCCTCCATATCTCTCCCCTCCGGCTTCGTCCGTCAGCGCTTATCGGCGCGATGAAGGCGGCGAGCTGAGCGTGTTGGTGAGGTCTGCGCTGGTGACGCGCGGGCGGCGCGTTGGGCGCAGTTCCTGCTGTGGATGCAGCGCGTGTGGTCATTGGCTGGACGCGCTGATGAGGAGCGGTGCCCGGTAAATTCAGAGCAGCAAGAGCACCGGACGCGTCGCGACACAACAAGATCGCTCTCATAAAACATAAACGAAGCTGATTAAAACTGGAAGCGCTCGATGCAACGCGGACTTCTCGTTTCTATTTTTTGCGTATTGCTTAGTCCCTCAACTTCATGTTAATTGATTTAGTTTGCTTATTGCACTGCTGTAGCCACTTTTCACAACCTCTAATAAAATAATGTTATTCATTTGTTATTCTTGCAATTACTGTTTATTTTATTTTGCTTCCATCCACTTTATTTCTCTCATTAATCTGAAATAAATTGACTAATATATATATATATATATATATATATATATATATAATATATATATATATATATATATATATATATATAT